TGTTATATGAATATAAATTAATGAATCGAAGTCTCAAAAGATGATGAACAATAGTCATTAAAAAAATAAAATATTGAACGACAGATTATAATACTATAGCATTTCGTTTATTTAATCAATAATATTATAACTGTGTGTAACACTATAAGTAGAATACAATTTGTTTGCATAGTATTGGATGGTTAAAACATAATATAATAGGTACAGCATAATAATAATATTATGATGTATTACTGTATTATATACCTACTGTAGTGATTCGCCTGTCTAACTGTATAAGAAAAAAAAATAAGGCTGTAAGTAGATATAAGCACAATATATTTCTCCTAACAGGAGTTACTGTCGATACAATATGTTAACTTAGAAAGTATTATACATAAATAAATAGATTAAATTCCAAACTTGTTTTAAAACAATTTAAAAAATCAACACTTAGAAACATGTAGCTAATTTGACTTATTATAATATATTTAGACATGCGTATAACTATGTGACTGGGATTCGTATGCAATAAAAATGTATTGTATGATGTTATTTAAAGGATTCCTATACATTTCCCTCGATTTATTTATAATACATTGCATTATAACTATTACATTCAAATTACCTATTTGAACCTAGTTCACATTTTTTAGAATTTTAAACCATGTTAATTAAATTAAACTTTAGATACAAAAACAATTAAGCAATTGTTTATAATAATTGTTATTATAGGGCCTGGATTACCTAATATGCAAAAATAAAACACTTATACTCACTCACGGATCTATTAAATATATGCAAAAAAATCACTTATTATTTATTATAAATTAATTTATAAATTTTTTTTTGTTTTTTTTTTTATTATTACTTATTAATACCAAATATATACTTAAAAAATCATACAATATAAATTTTAAGATATTAAAATGACAAAATGTAATATTATTTCGAAACATTTATTATTATGAAACATGTAACAGGCAACAGCAAAAAATTATACAAAAATTAATGTAAGATTTTCAAATTTATCACTTCTACAATTATCACGATCATCTTGTAGCATATCATCATACACTTGTACCTTAAAACATTAATACGACATAACATAATACAATATAGAAGTATAATTAAATCGGAAAAAACTCCAATTTCTCCAGATTTGTTCCTGAACTTTATCACATTCAAATTATTTCTCACATTTCTTAATAATTATTATTTTATTAATTCAGAGTGTCCATGATTTTTTGACAGTATATTGTTGTAAAAAAATAAATAGGTAAAATTTGAATGTTGATTAATTTATTTTATAAATTAGTTAATTAATAATATGCATTTGCTTATAAATATATAGTTAATATTAATATTTTCCCAGAAATATGAAATATTTAAATATACCTAAGATAGGTATATATTTTAGCATTGAAAATTGTAGTTCTAAGTAAAATACTTATAAATTTGCATTTGCTTACAAATCCAAGCCCTGTTTATTATTATTATGTATATATTTATTAGCTCATTTTTTAGCTGTGAATCTGTGATCAGATCTATGAATTTTAAGACTTTTAGGAATTTACATATTTATTGATTTTATTTAGATATCATAATTAGTGAAATAGAAATTACTATTCTAAATAAAATATTGCTTATTGATTATTTAAAGCATACCTCTGTATAGGTACATAATTTATTTATATATCTTTTAATATTATTTTGAAATTAAGCATTGTCTATTTTTTTTTTTACAAATATTCATGTTAGGTAATTTATTATTTGTTTTTTTATTATTATTGAATTTAACTAAAAATTATATATAACATTATAACATATTAATAATTAATTGGTACCTAGGTACCTTTCTTGATGAAAACTTTTTATTTCTAACATTTATCTGATCAACAATATTTTTATTAATTTGTTGGTGAAATAAAAAAACCTATAATAGATATTATGTTGGGGCTTAACATTTTTTGAACATATTATAGGGGCATTTAATTCACTGCCCTATCAATTCTCCAATTGTTATAGTCATCACTCATCATAATACAAAAACCAGTCATTTATCAATACAATAATATATGTATAATGTGAACTCACAAATATACAATTTCCGAATTTTAACACCGCGCACATAACAATACTATGTTAACTTATTAGGTTTTTACAATAAAATTTATAAAATTATTTATCATCTATGTTATATAGTTTTACATTCATAATACAAAGGTACGCACTGTTAAGTTTAATTATTTTTAAATTATATAATATAACTGAGAATGGTACTTAAACATTTTAAACGTTTCTAGACGCTCCCAAATATAAGCCAAGGAAGAACGTAGGAGAATTTTTGGAATTCGCTTACACCAGAATTTCATTTAAGAGGGTGTCCTATAGATACGGTGTTTATACGATACAAATATTCGATTAAAAAATATACGTTTAAATCACTTGTGGCAAATATCATGAAATAATGTACCTAATATAGGCGCAGAATAGGATCGACACGCATAGTTAGAAAATATCATTATTAGGGCTGTGAATTGAAATTTATTTTCCATTTATTTTTTCACCAGCTTATGTAAATTTCTTAAATTGTTGTATTATTAAAATCAGTGGCTTAATTAGAACTGAATTTCGGGAAGGAGGTGCTATCCCTAAAATCCCCCTGTTACTATGTCACTGATTAAAATAGATACTTAATAACATCTTAATGTTTTAGTGTACCGAAGAAACTGTTATGATTAGATTAGATAATTAAGAGGCCTGCACGTGTTCTTTTCTTTTGATCAAAAACATGCCTTGTAGGAAAAACTGTTATCTCTTGTAGAGTGATACGATTTCGACATATTTTTTTTTCTTTGAAATAGAAACACTTTTTACAGGGTGCATTGGACTTGGATTTTCAAAATTCTATTTCTAAAACATATGATACTGTTTTGAATATAACACATTTTCACAAGTTTTTGTTATTTTTACGATGTTTGTTTTAAGCAAAGAAATTAAAAATCGACGTCCATTGCGCCCGGAGAAAGTTACCTATCCTCTTTTTAACGAACAAAATATTAATAAATCAGACCACTCTACGATGAATGAGATCTTTTCCTGTAAAGCGTGTTTTGGGCAAAAAATCATACTTTTTATTTTCGATTGTTGGTGCCGTTAATATCCCGGTACCCGCATACAATCACACTCACATAATCATCATTGACGACTAATGCAAATGCAACAGGCGGTGGCAACGAAATTGCATATTGCCTAAGTATTGCCCCTTTTTAAAGACACACGAACAGGCCCATTAGAATTTATTTTTATGTATTGTGTTCAATTTAAAATTATATTATTTTTTAAATACTTTCTACGATGAATTTGTTGATTTTATTGTAAAATGTATTTTCAAATATTGGTTTTTTTCCAACTAATTCATTTTTAATGTTTATGCAAAAATTAATTTGCTAGAATCTGAAATACGATATTTTTTACAATATATCTTAATGTTTAATCAATAAGTACAATTTTAAATACATTCTTTGTGTTGAATACTATATTATTTATATTCACAGCCCCTTTGAGATTATTTTGAAACTTGAGAGTGTCAGGGTGAGAAGATTTTTGGAAATTCCACCCGGGCTCAATGAGTTTCAAATGCATCTAAAATCAATCGCTTATTGCCTATAATACAAGTATTTTCGAAAATAATTTAATCATGTTATCATAATATTTCAACTATAGTTTTTCTAACGCTCAATTTCCAAAACAGAATTTAAAAACGGATAAAGTTTCCTATCATTGCTGTGGTTTTATTTTAACGTTTCTTTTTATTTATCACTATATAATATTATAGTTCAATACATGCCCCAAAATTAGAATAATAATTAAAATACACATTACACATTAATAATTGTAACAATAATAATAATTAATAATAATAATAATAATAAAGATTAAAAATACAATGACAGCTACCTATATCTAAAACATAATAATTAATAATAATAATATGTCTGGCACGTGGACCTAATGTATTTTTTATTGTCAAACGTCACTCCCGGTTCAAAGGGCCAGTATTTATCAAATAAAACGATTTATATTTATCATTATTCATTAATAGTTTTCTTTTTACAAAATAATAACGATAATATAATAAATTACTTAAACCACCACATAATGTAAAAGGCTTAAAGATAAATTATTATAATTAAACATATTTATACTATCGTGTTAACATAATATTATATTATATTGTATTAAATTGTATGTACACGCGCATGTGAACCTAACGTTAACAGTTTAATGGGTAACGCGCGTTACAGCGTGCACTTAATCTAGTAATAATTAATAATTATTATCAATAAGACAATATTAATTTAATGGAAGACATTGTGATTTTATTGCTTTTGTATAAAACAATAAATGATATCAATATCAATGTTACAATACTAATAATAATAATAGTAATAATATCTCGTATTAATACACTCAATACCTACATTATCGAGCATAAACGTAACGTTATTTACAATACCTACCAACTTACGTTTATGTCGCTCATCTCATAATTTAACAATTTAAAATGAGGTAACACAAAATCAGTCTTCGAAAATTGATCTTAAACACTAAGAAAAAGTCGACCGGCGTAATTGTTTCCTTTTTTTTTCTTTTTTCTTTTTTTTTTTACGACGCCCGACCGACCTTTTTCGACTTACGCTAATCTTAACGTTAGTCATATGTTTCATCGTTTTGTTATTCTTGGTTGAATACTATATAATATATCGTTGTGGGAACAAACAAAAACTAAAATTACAGCCGTTTAACTAGCGTGCAAATGAAACGAAATGATAATGCACGTGCCGGCTAATGTATAGACATTGATTAAAATGTTAGGTGTATGGCTAAGTAATTATTTTTTATTTCCCAATTCTTGAATAAAAATCTTTTATACTTTATAATGTTGGGGACGAAAAACACAAACCAGGTATAATCGGGATACGTCGGGGACAGACTGCAAAAGCTGAGAATAGATATCATGTGGACCAGCTGATCCGACGGCTGTTCGTGCTACAGACTTCGATAGACTTTATTTTGCTGATTTTACCATCGGCCTGCGTGTAATATGCTCTGAAATTATAAAATAAGTGAATGCAATTGTTAATGTACTACGTTTTACCGCCAATCGGTGTTCGAATAATCGAAGTTGTGTCTCACCTGAGGCTCGAAATGTGGGGGTGTTGGATGACAGACGTCTGCGCCACTAAGGTCTCTAGCCTTTCCATTTTGTAAACTAAAAATAAAAATAAAAATAGTTTTTACCGCCGTTTATAGTAGGTACTTAAAACAATTATATCACACACGTGTTTCGTGTTTATTTTGCCAGCCACCCTTTAAAATACAACTCTGGATATGCCCTTGCAAATCGTACATGGAGAGGATAAAAATATGGGTTTGATACCTTTTTATTTTATAATAAGAACCATAATGGTACTTAAGAAAAAAATAAAGTCTACTTTAAACGGACGGGATATAAAATTTATTTCCATAAAACTGTATGGGTTCCTGAAAAATGTTCATATTTTTGACAAATTACTTCAAAATCTGCACTTTAAATGGTTACATAAAAAAATGTGAGTATAATATACCAATGTATTTTATATATATAGTTGATGCTGATGCGTAAGAAAAAGTCCGATGAATTATAAACACTTGCACACAAAACTTATTGTATTTTAGATTCTGAGAGGATCGACGAATGTATTTGAATGGTTGGTTTTTTCTGTCAGTAAACATATATTTTTATACTAGAAATAATGCTTTGATTTTTAAAAAATATAAAACTTGTAAGAACATGTAATATTATGTTGAAACTTTTTAACCATAATAAAAAATAAGAAGAATTTATTAGACGATAAATTAGTAACTTAATATCAGGAACCTTACATAAATGATCAATCTATTTATGCCCATGGAACAAAATTGTAGAAACATAAATCAAAAATTTCAAATGTCAAGAAATAATTTTAAAAAATACTAAATATTTTGCACATTTTATAATTTCTAAACAATTTTAATACATTTTTTTAGTGAAATTTTAAGTATCTTTGAAGGTCTGAGAAGTTGGCCGCACAATGGGAACATTTTTGCTCCAAATTTATACATTTCTGAATTTTTACAAAAAACATAAAAACCAAATTGATTTGGTCAAAATGTTAGTGTTGTTAATTCCCGTTGTCTCGCTATTGTATGTAAGTTTTTCAAAATTATGAAAAATATTATTACAAGTACATTGGTCTTATAAAAATTAGGAGTTTTTTATTTTCGACCATTAAACTATTCAAGTACCAATTTGATTAAATTTATAGGTGCTAGAAACCATCCTCAAAGTTTAAGATTAAATCAAATTTTTTGGGTATTTACACCCCCCCCCCACTTTTGTTTTCTCCAGATAAATGTATCATATTCATATATATACGAATACTGTAAAAAACTTTATTTAATTTATGCTTAAGCTCCCCTCCCCCATTTTGATGTCAAAATATCAGTTTTTAACAAACTAGATTTTCTTATTTTGTTTTAATACTTTAATATATAAATATATAAAAACCCTTAAATACTTGAAATTGTCAAATTTTTATATTTTCATTTCTTGTACAATGTTAATTATTAATTTCAAAACAATGTTGACTCTTTTTGAGTAACAATATACATTTAAATATTTGATTTTCTTCTATAAATGTAAATAAAATATTTGTCCTCAGTAAAAAGAAAACTTAAAAATGTTATTATTAAAGTTTTTTTTTAAATATTTAAGACATATTATGATCTTAAATTTTTACATGTTTTTGAAGTTAATATACTGACAAAATTCATTAACATTTGCAAATTATTTTGTGGTTAAAATTGGTATGGCTAAGGCTTGAAAATGTAATACAAAGTTCTTCATAAGTAGTTTATTCTGAAACAAAAAAGTCTAATAAATATTATAGAAGCATAAGTTTATTTTGTAGACATTTTAAATTCAAATGTGTACAAAATTAGATATTTAAACGAAAAATAATAGTTTGAAGTAATCATTTTGTTGTAATTAAAAAATATTATTTGTGGAGACCTAAAAGTTTTAAATATTAATTATATTATTATATTTTATATAGGTACACAGTACACACAAATACACAATTCCATCTTCCAAACATTCATATAAACTTTAAGCTACCTATAGGTATTACCTATATTACATATATATACTACGAACATATGCATACCATCCTACGGTAAGCCGGTATTGACTCAAAAGTTACCTAATAACAATAATACATTTTATAAATAATTTTTACTACCTATTATAATATATAGATACTAATAATAAAATAATTAATGTGATGTTTTGGTAAAAATGTTATTTATGTAATTTTATTCAACCTACCATAGTGCTAATTGTAAAATAAACTAATATAATAGCAATATAAATATAAAAATATAAAATATCCTAGATTGCTCCTTTCAGAATAATATTTTGTATCCAATGATATAAATATATAATATCACTGAGATAAACTTTAACACATCCATTACAATATGTCCCCACTACTCAACAATCTACTGGCTACTGTAAAGTATAGTATATTTTATCACCCTTTTACCTGAGTTACTATACAGTGTGATTTGCAGTATAAACCTTGTAAGAGTGTAACTACCTACCGCAGTTAAAATATGGACACCATGGAAGATGAGTAAATGTTGAAGTCTACAGTAATAATATATTTACTTACGATACAGAGGAATTTGAAAAGTGTCAGTGAGTTATTAAATATTTAGAAAATAGAAAAATCTCATTAGATATATGTATTTATCTAACGGAAACTTGTGGGACTTCGGCTTCGGACCATGGTACATGGTGTCGATATGAACTGAAGTCAATCATTTAGAAATGGTGAAAACATATTTGTCTCGACTACAATATTAATTAAGTCTAAATACGATTAGAACAACCATTGCGATATTCATTTCGATAACCATATAAAATTGTAAAATGATATCAACTGGGATACGATGTTCCATCTTTTAACACTAACACAAACGATACAAGTTGGTAATTTTTATTTGCTCAGACGTTCAGTAGGTACCTACATTACAATTATTATGAAAACGATGGTTTTTATAATTTAATAACGAACTGGAAACTTATATGGTTATGTTTGATTAATTCTGGAGTTTGTTTGATTATTATTTATAGGTGTACCTACTATTTTGTTAAGCCATAGCTGTTGCAAAACTTTATAAGTTGAACTGTGTGAGCTTTTCACTTGCGCTTCATCTAATAGATAGAAAATATGGTAGTAGGTACTTATAACTATTATTATAATATTATAATAGTTACATATTATGTAATCGAAAGAGAAAAAATGCCAAGATAATCCAAAAAATGATTTTTCAATTAATAATAATTTACCGTAGGTGCACACTTCAATTATTATCTCGAGAATTAAATACCTATTTGGCTATATACCTACAATGTGAAATAGTAGAATAAGCATTTAAGAATTTAATAAAAGGTATGTATAGATATTATTGTAGAATCTTAAGTAAGTATCGTATTAATTTGAGATTGTTTGTTTAACTGTTAAGTTCAATTATATATTGGACCTCTGTCTAAATAAAATTAGGAGTATTATTTCTATACGTACCTACATATTATGGTTATTTCTAATTAGTTATTTTACTTATTTGTATAACAATAAGCTTATAAGTACCTATACGTAATTTTTGTGTCCACGTTTTTTTAATATAATGATCTGCCAGCGAACAGATGAGGAAATAAACAAGATTAAAGCAACATAAAGAACACATTTTTTTAAAAATAAAACACAAATTTTTACTCGCATGTTATAATATAAATATATCACGATCTGGTGCACTTGTGTATAATATTATTTAATGCACTGATGTGTTCCAATTTACAATAGGCATGTTTGCTCAAATCATTTTCTTTCCGTTTCCGGGATTTTACTAATATCTCAATTAGTGGCCCACATGTTTTAAATATAATATATTATATTATTATCTGAGGTTTATACGTATTTATATAGACACTATCAAACTGTACAATATGGAAAACCGCGCTATATATTTTATGGTAAAGTATTAGCTCCCTCATGTGTTAAACAGATCCATTAAAAGCTTAAGCCACGCGCGCAAGATGTTCGGAGGGGCCAAATCTAAAATTAACCCCAACCCTTAATTTAATACTACGTCAAGTGCGAACCCCCTGTTAAAAAGTTTCTATAGCTACAAAATCCACTTAGCGGTCTCTCCTAAAATTCGATTTAGCAATACGCAAACAGAGAAAAAACGAAATACGCGTAGAAAGAATATTGTGGTATCCGGTAAATAATTTGAAATCACGATTAGTATGTTACTCAATCACTTTGAATTGACCGAGTAATTATTTTTAAATAAAATTGACATCCATATGTACGAGGCAATAAATTATATTAAATGCCCTTTGGTTAATGTGTTCCATGGGAATGTGCAGACGACTGCAATTTATAGCAGACGGGCAAACATATAATATTATAACCATTAATACAATCAGAAATTCATATTTCAAATGTTTAATTAATCGATCCTAATTAACTAGGTACCTATTTCATTCAAAGGTCCATAATATAGATATACATTTCTTTTTTTATGCCGTAATCGGTGTTGTCTATAACTATTTCATATACCTACTTCTACAGTTACCTATACATAACAATTGCATACCAATATACTATTATTATTTTACTATTCAGGAGTATTTTTATTAAAACCGTCCTAGGAAAATACCTCATAAGCTCATATCATATAATATAGTAAGTACAGCAAAATGATATATATTTTATTGTAATCAGTACATTTTTATGTATCTGAGTAAGTATAGAGTTTGCAATAATAATACAGTATGTTGTATGTACATTTAGCACATATATTATACGGTGTGATAAATATTAAACAAATTTATGCATTTTTTAAAAATATATATGAAATATTTCGTGTAAAAATAAGTGCATAATGCCAATAAATATCCCAAACTTCAGGCTTCTAGCAATGATAAAAAAAATTTATAATAAATTTGTTGTAAGATACTTGCACATAAATACATAATAGTTTTAATTGTATTTCATTTATTTTACTACTACCTACCATTTCCACACTCATAAAAAGTATAGACATGTACCTACTATTCATTATTATCATCTATTAATATGATATAGGTACTCGCAGTTATAAATTATTATGAAGTCATAATTTAGTCATACAATTTATAACTTATATACAACTACATATTAAGTATAAAAGTATAAATACAATATATAAGTACCTAATTGTATTTAGTTTTGCATAATTATTAATTTGAAATGTTTTCATTGATTCATGCATCATACTTATGCGAGGTTTTTATAAACTATGAAATTCATAGATCTGCTTATTAGGTACTATAATAATAGTTATAACCTATTATAAGGAAAGAAATCGATGCCACTGTCAAATCGTTAAATGCACCACTTGCAATCCGTGACGTGTATTAATCACTTCATAGTTATTGCGTTCTAGTTTAGGATTAGGCAAAAGAGAGTTTAGGTTTTATATAGTTTCTGCAAACAGTAGCCTTTTTTTTGGAAAAAGCTGTGTAATAACTAATAACCATCATTTTATAATACGTTATAAGTTATAACTTATAATACTATAGACACAAGTTTGTGAAATCATTGGATTTAAAAATTCAGTTAAGTTATACTTATATATTACCTATAGGTATATAGAGTATATATAAAGTAACCACTACAATCCATAACTTTATATTAAAATACAAGTATACTATGTCCATCGGTACTATATAGCACAACAATGTACCACGGGTTACAGATCAGTGGCGTATTTATGGGGGGGAGGGATTTCCCCTTTAGACCAAAATATTTTGTACGTAATATAACATGTACCTATATAATAATATGAATATAATATGTGTACACTGTATGTCTATTAAAAATTGTATAGCTCCCCTTAAAAAAATCCTAAATACGCTACTGTTACAGATGTATACCTACTATTTGTCAACAAGTAATACTATTACATTGAAATCTTTCGAAATAAAAACTTTCTTGACAAAAAGATTTTTTTTGTAGGTACATATTGATAAACTATTTACTGCTGGGCCATCACGACTGGTTAATGGAAAATCTATGAACATGATTAATTTTCTTAGGCCTCTTTCAGGGTTTCAAACTTATGGAATCCATAGATAATATATATTAATATACTATTGACACGGATAAATGGTAAAAATACAGATTTGAGTTTGATTTTGAGCTAACATAACTTTGATTTATTTGAATTTGAATTATTTTACAAGAGGTAGGTATTATAAGGCTAAGACTCTTATACGTTACTTTGAATTAGTATTTAAACATAATATTAAATAATTAAAATATATTTATCTTACTCAAAATATAATTGAAATTTCTATACCAAGCACCTTAAAAATCAGCTGTTTGGATCAAAATTGGTACTATAATAATTATTAATAATTGTATAGATTATAAATATACCTTAATATGTCCGTCTTACCAAGTACCCACATAGTTATTGCGCTCATGACTTACACACTTGAAGCACATCATAATAACCATGTGCCCTATACCTAGGTTTGAGTATGAGTATTAACACTTCTTTACTACATAGCCAATGTAACATAGGTACTTACAAAAAATAGCCACCCACCATTTTTTATTTTTTATTTAATATAACTTTAATGGAACAACTATGTTAATCCAAGGAGCAGTTAAAAACACATATTACAAAAATTTACCAAATGATTTATTTTGCTGAGATTATAATAAAACTATATACATTCAAATTATGTTCAATAGGAAACTTGAATTGAACAACGTTCAAAAGTTAAAATACCTATAAATGTTATGGCATATTTCTTGTTCAAAATACTTTTTTTAAAACTGATGACTAAACACCACACTACTGCCCTCCATCAATGATATTGGCATGTCACAACTCACAAGCATAAATAAAACACAAAATATATTAAATCCGAATCATGACCGAAACGATGGCCCTACACGTTATCTATATTTAATTTGTGATCTGAATATAATCTAATACAATTTCATTTATATTATTGCGAACGTAATGAAATGAATTATAATACTTACTTTTTTTCTCCACAATATTATACGCCGTGTTTTCGGCGTGTTGCTGTCGCGGTTGTAGCTTCCAGTCCATCACAAGCGCTTTCGAGGACGACCATTATAGTTTAAGCTGTGGTTGCGGTGGCGGTGATCTGATGAGGTGATGATGATAGGGCATGGAGGGGTACAGGCGAAGAAGGTAGAAATTTAAATTAAAAATTAATGAAAGGCTGCAGCGGTGGCGGCGGCGGCGGACGCCGCGTGGCTAGTAACGACGAACGTGCTGTAGCGGTGGACGCCGGCTGCAGACTCGGGCAAAAATGATAGCGAGCGGAGTGTCGGCGGCCGCGGTCAAAGTCACGGCGATGGGAAGTCCAGTGGGGGTTGGGCCCTAGTTTCCGTGACGACGATGCCGGGTGGGCGGTGACTTTGGGCGGCGGCAAGTCGTAAGCTATGTGCTTTTGAGGGGTCGTGGACCGGCGGGAGGGTGTACGGGGAGCCGAACTTCCATTGCTTCGTTCTGGCCGACGACGGGGGACTTCCCGCTCGGAGCCGCCCGCAGAAGTTGGCGGGTCGGGCGGACGACGAGCAGCGAACGACTGCGGCGGCGGCGGCGGCGACGACGACGACGACGAATACCGTGACGGAGACAACGACGACCAACACCACTACTAAGGATGGTAAGAAACAGGAAGTTCGGAAATATAATATACATGTAGTTTGGGTATCTACTCCGTTGGGTATAGGAAAAATTCCAACGATAAATGGAAAAGTCGATGGAAAGTAAACCACCCCATCCCCCTTCCCCATCACAACCTCGGTCTTTCCGATTTCCATAGTGTCATATTATAATAGCTAACGCATTATGAGGAACGAATTTTTTATTAACGGTGTCAGAGCAGGCTTTTTATTATTTTAGTCAACATTTTGGGCGATTTCTATTCACGTCAGACGAAGGTCGTACGGAAAGAATAAAATCAAACTATTTCAACGATTGAAAACTACTTTGTAAAAAAAAAAAACGATCATGTCCCGGGAATAGTATGTATAGGATTTTGATCATTTTTATTTTATTTGAAGAGGACAACTCTATTCAGATCACATTTGGATTTCGATTTTTGAATGTACTTCAAATAACGTCATAAAAATACATTTGAAAAAAAATTTATCGAAGTATGACTATTTCACGACTCACGAGGCATGACAGTTGTACTTGTGAGACAAGTTTTTGTACAATAAATGCGTCGGCTCCGACGCGACACCCTTAATACGGATAGATATTAAATCTCTGAAAATATATATGATTTCTTGTTATACATTTTTCAAACTTTGATCCATTTTGTATACCGAGTTTTTCGATGGTTGTCGACGTATGTACTATATAATATTATGTATCTTGTACCCCCCCCCTATTATAGTGTTCTTAAAATGGCGTCAACTTTCTTTAAACGCAATACCACACACGCAAAAGAGAGATTTCCTTCTTTGAGCCATTTCAAACTCTACATGACTACATAATATATTTTATTCGATCTAGTATTTATAATAATTTATTAAAACCATTATATTAGTAAGATAATAATACATATAATTACATGAATTAAATTCATAAAATCCAGTGTCATACTCGGGGGGGAGGGTGGAGAGATAAAGGACCATAGTCAGAAATCGGGCACTTAGCCCCCCCCCCAAATATACAGTTTTTTTAGTTGTGTGGGATCGATGTTAAAAGTGTTAGCCCCATCCTCAAATGTATTGGATTTCCACCTATGCATGTAGCACAGCCCTCGCTCCGACCCACAACGTTGATTGGATTCTTATATTTTAATTTTACGAAACCATATTCGGATAAATATTTTTTTTATAATTTACGTTATGAATAGATAATACCTATAATTTATTATTAGGTTTTAAGTTGAGTTTAGAACGAACCTGCATATTATAATGTATCTTAAAAATAAATAAATACCATTTAAATAAAAATAAATTGATGAAAAAACTAATCAAACTAAAAATTAGGTATGAAAATTAATCTAGTTTATAGTACTATTAAGCCATACATAATATTATTATAGTTTATAGTGGAAGTACTAAGATAATACAATAATATTATATTATACACTAATAATAAACTAATTGATTATAATTATAATATTTGAATAATTAAAATGAATTACATTTTCATTTTCACTTTTGGATTTTTCTATTTTTTTTTTTATGGGGGGGGAGTGTAATAAAACCACATTTTAGAGTTTTTCTCACTTGTTAACTGACAAAATCTTATAATACAATTTTATTTTGATCTAGTTTACAGTCTTTTATACATTCAGAAATCGTTATAATATTTTCTTAATTATTATTTTTTATTAGGTAGGTACTCATCTTTATATTCATCTTGTTAGACAGAGCAGAAGTAATATACAATTTATATTACGTCTGCTTTGTTAGACTATTTAATAGTCTAACACTAATTTTAAAATTAAAACAATTATTTTTCATATCAAGACTTAATAATGCCAGTCCTCTTGTAAAAACCAAAACTCGATAAGACGTAAGTAATATATTATTCATGGTAATCGGCGTATCGTCTATATGTTGCACTTACTTCGGTCATCTGAATATGAAATTATTACGATAAAGAAATTATTTTTGTCTTATAATGCAGCTTATCTGCTTATAGACTATAGAGTGTTACATTATTCGATAAGAATTATTATATATGATGATACCACGAAATTCGAAATGTGCACATCCCATGGGATTACAAAATAAAAAAAAAGATAACTATTTAGACGTTCTTTATGCGTCTGTACCTAAATATTATAGGTATACCTAGTTAAGTTAAATAAAACAAAAATTCTGCTGTAGGAGTGGAATGTACATCTGTCATCTCTTGTATATCTATTCGTACATTTTTGTCTAATAGTTATTAGTCTAATTAATTGGTTTAAATATTTCGTACATTTCATTATGACGAATGGACAATTTAAATATTCGTAATTACAAAAAAATTAATTTAATTAAACTAAATCAAATTTTAACTTAAAATGTCCGTAAGAAAATATTGTGCCCACATATATGTATTGATGATATTTTTATACTGCTGTAAGAATAACGCAAGTAATTACAACTGTAATCTTTGAGTGTGACATTTCCAAGTCTTTAGACGGAGAAAAAAAATTATTATAAACATTTTAAGAAAAAACTAATAATATTCAAACACTTCAAATGCCTATTGTAAATAGCTTAAAATTATTCCAAATAGTTTATCATTTTCATGAAATAAAAAAAAATATAATTTTAGTAATAGCTTTTATACCTAGTGGAATGTTTTAAATTTCAATGATTAATATTTTTTGAATTACAACAAAATGATAAAATAACGTTTGAGGAAAAATTGTTATTATCTTTTTAATTACCTATTGATTTTGTCAACATTTGAACTTCAAAAGCTTTTAATATTAATTAGGCTTTACGCTTTAAAGTTTAGGTTAAACATTTTTATAATTCTAGGAAGAACAAATTATTAGAAATATTGAATTATATTCAAAAGTCGTATACTTGTATGCTGTACTTATAAAAATAGTTTTTCTATACAAAATATAGAACATTAATTCTGATAGGTAGTATAAAAGATATTATAATACTTTATAGTTCATATTATATATTATTACCTATATGTTTACAACCTAAAATGTTCTTAAAAACTCAAACTATGATGAGTATTTCCGGGCTCATTGGCTACAATCTAAAAAATCGCCCTGTATAATAACTAAATTTATTATTTTATGCCACATATATAAAACTACCTATATAGTATTACGATCGACCGAAGTCGCAAAAACTATAATAATATCTTGCTGGCCATTTTCAAAATAAATGTTCAATACAATATAAAAACAAAATACACTCACCCGTGTAATAACGTTCGTGTATACCATATAATATATAATATTATTATATTACATTGGTACCGTGTGATACTGTGATGTGAATGATTTTTATTGTATTTTTTTTTTTCAGAATATTACGGATTACTCTTTATTATTATAGGGTCGTTTTGCGCATTCGTACATTCGACATGTAATGACTAATATGTATACAGAGAGGTCCATAGTTAACATTCGTTCCACTTTCACGTCCTATATACCATTCGTGTTTTCCTGCAGGATAATATTGCAGGGAACACGTTTCATATTGTTTCAAATAATATTGTAAGCGTTTATCGGTTTTATCGCAGTTTGTATGGATAGTAAGTACCGCAATGTATTTATTTTATATTTTGTACCACAGCTTACACACAGAATGTTCATTTTATTGCAGTTTACTATCTCCTTAATTATTTGAGTAGAGTGATAGAGTCTCATAATATGTATTGTAACATTTAAAATCAAATCACAAAACATCCAAAGTATTATCATTGATAAATTATAATATTATTATAAAATCAATGGTATTATTGTTTATGAATAGCACGTAGCTGCAAGCTGGTGATATACGCTCATGTATATAGTTTATCAAGCCGTAAACTTAAGCAGCTGATAACCGAATTTACAGCAATGTTAATATGCGTGATTTTGAACATTATTGAAAATGTGATTATTTTTTATTGCTTTGAAATTTAATATCACGACTATAGTTTAATATCGTACAAACGAAAAGTCTAAAAACGACCACAACGCTGTTTGTAAAGTTATTTTTTGTACGATTAGCGTTATGATATCAAACAATAAGTCACACAATTTTGACGGAGAGTATGTACATCAAAATATATAGAAACACTATGGGTTTTAATTTTTTATAAACACGTGTGTTTAAGTACCTAATAATTTGCATTGTAGATGAGACACGAGTGCACAGTGCACTGCATGGACTATGCTGTTGTAAGTTGTTGCATACTATTATAGTATAATATTTCGACAAAATTCACGGTATACCACAACCATACTTACTATCTACGGTACTTATTCTCTAATTTATGTACAGCATATTGTGTAGTTATCTCGAGTTTAAATCATGTAATTCTATTTGAACAGAGATTACGATGAGTGTTCATATATCTATTTGTTTGTGGATTTAAATGTTATAGTTATA